TTTTTCTGACCTATATTGGAAGAAATACAAACTGTAGAATTACATTGGTCAAAGGTTAAATAACATTCTCTCCAACCCCACCCCATGAGCCCAACCAGTTAATAAAAAACAATACCATTATTCAGCTATTTAGCATGGCTATAAGTATTACATTCAAGAGAAGAAGATCCATATACGGTTTCAGGTATAGAGAATACTACTTCTGGAGACAAGTATTCCAATGTTTACTATCCTTATATAAAAGTTTTATGTATCTAAGTAATAAAGACCTGAAAAAGAATTTTTTAAAAAAAGAAACCTAGTGATTATGTGATTTGGAATAATCTGGCTCATTTCCAAAATCTCTTTTATTTGGGGGGAGAAAAGTAATAAATCATTTCTATAAAACTTTCTTATAAATTAGAAATGGTTTCATAACATTTTTACAAATGTAATAGAAACAAGTTATGAAAACTTCCACAACTATTAAAAAACATGATTTGCTATACCAGGCTATCAGATTAAGTATTCTAAAGCAATTTATTCAGAAAAATTAAGTAAAATTAAAAGTTGCACTTAAGTTTTTAAAAAATCTTCAGTCCTTTCCTTACCCTGACAGTGAAGGTAGCATTTTCTCATAGTAACATGATCAGCCACAAGGTAAGGAGAATATAACAGATTATGTTGGTCTAAATTATTCTCTATATACATTTTGAAGATATGAAGGAAAAGCCATCTTACATAAAAAAGCACCTTCTCAAAAGCAAATTTGCCATTGATACTGAAGAGCATACTTTATCAAACAGCTGAGTACTGATTATGACATAAAGAGAATAATCAGTTGGAGTTACGGTCTTCAACCTTAAAGTCATGACCTTCTCTCTCATATTCCCAAATATGCCCTAAGTAAATATCCATAATATTCACAACTATCTAGAGGTTGAATAATAAAAAAGCCCAAAATAAACCTATGAATAGTTAAGTAATAGCTGCCCAGGGCAAGTTAAAAATGTTTTTCTATTTGAAAATTAAACTATGTTCTTGGTTTTTTTTTTTTTTTTTATTTTTTGGGTCTGGTCGTGGGGCCTGAACTCTGGGCCTGGGCACTGTCCCTCAGCTCTTCAGCTCAAGGCTAGCGCTCTATCACTTGAGTCACAGCGCCACTTCTGGCTTTTTTCTTTTTGCTTATGTGGTGCTGAAGAATCGAACCCAGGGCTTCACGCATGCAAGGCAAGCGCTTCCCAGCCCGTTCTTAGTTTTTAAAAGCCTCAAAAGACTTCTTTACTGTAGCTCAGATTAGCCAAACAGGTAATGATTTTCACCCATGTTGAAAATGGAGCAGAGAATGGGGTTTGGGGGTGAGGGACTGGGAGATACTATAACAAGAGCTAAGGGGATGCAGAAGACCATACAGAAAATGAAGCCTTTCAGAAAGGGCTTTCCTCACTACACAATCTTAGAAAATCAGTGGATAGGTAGCCTGTTACTAGCTTAACAATTTAAAAGTGGGGCGCATACTTTGACATGGGCAAAAGTTAAGGTACTACCTTCTTCCAAAGAACAAAAGCTATTTAGAACATGAAAAAAAAAAGACTGTAAGGACAGAATGTATATGATAAAGAATGTTATTTCTGGTTCTACATATATAATCCCAAATAGATTTAGCTTACATGTTGACACCTTAATGTCTCTAGAAATAATCTAAAAAATATAAAGAAAGTTCTGACTGGGAGGTACAGTGGGGAGAGAGGAGCAGGATACTGTAGCAGAATCCAGTCTGTCCTCAAAAGAAACTTTTCATTGCCACAAACCCTAGGAACTGCTTTGCCATCATTCCACTGAAGTCCTGATCGTCTAAACTAATCTCTGTAATATGAGAACTCTGGTCTCCTTTTAAATGTTATTAAACAAACAAAGATTGAGCCATACTTGGATTATTGATAGAACAAAAAGACAAGGAAAATAAAAAGAAATGTTGTTTTTGTGTTTCTTTTTTACTTCTGGACCCATTTTCAGTCAATGATTGTACCTGTACTCTAGAATCACAGAGCCTTGAGTTGGAATCGTGGCTCATCATTTACTAGAATATATAAATTTAGAAAAGTTTCTCAACTTCTATGTATTTTTCTTACCTCCTTATCTATAAAAATGGGACACTAATAGCTCCTTCCCTTTAGGACTAATATTCAAATTATTTAAGAAAACATTTAACCCAGCAGCGGGAATTTAGAACATTCTTAGTAAATGTTGACTACTCTGCTTAAATCAAAGATTTTCCCATAGTCTAATAGAGCAGTTTTTCCAATCAGTGAAATTACAAGATGGTTTCAGATGGTGGTAAATATCTGTAATCCCAAAATTCAGGAGGCTGAGTCAGGAGGATCACAGGGTCCAGGCCAGATTAAGTTACACAGAGATTCTGCTCAGATAATAGAAAACAGGCCTCTCACCACAAACACAACCACATATACATAATCCCTCCCCCCATATATACACAAGACTTCACCACCACAATAAAAAATATCAGAGTATAGTATTATCATCTCAAAAACTTTCCTTTTTCAGATCTAAAACCACTTACCAATTGCTCACATGCACTATTTTTAACTTAGCCTCCCACTGCTCTTTACTGTGATGCCTTCCCCAAGTACCTTTCAAGGAGCATCATATCTGGAGCATTTTGTAAAAGACCCACAACACTTAATCACACTGTGCTTGTTTATGTAACTACATCTCTTAAATTGCCTTACATCCTGAAAAACACTAGAGAATCTGTAAATTTTTTGTTGAATAAATGAATACAACACTAAAACCTAATAGGTACTAACAGAAGAAAATATTACCTACTTTCATCTGGTAAGATTTTATTATTGCATAAACATTTAAATTTAGCTGCAATAATCACATAAAATTATTTTTTCTCCTACAGTATATTCCCTTCCTTCTGAAAGTGACAAATATTCACTTAAAAAACTGAAACTTGCTGGTACCCTTGGCTTCTGTCTGTAATACTAGCTACTCAGGAGGCTGAGGCCTGAGGATCATAGTTCAAAGCCAGCTTTAGCAAGAAAGTCTGTGAGACTCAACTAAACTACCAAAAAAGCTAGAAGTAGAGCTATGAATCAAGTGGTAGAATTCTAGATTTGAGCAAAGAAGCTCAGAGACAGCACCCAAGCCCTGAGTTTAAGCCCCCAGGACAGAAACAGACAAAAAAAAAAAAAAATTTGAAACAAGTGGAAACTCACTAGGTGCTCACACATGTAATCCTAGCTACTCAGAAGGTTGAGACCTGGAGGATCATGGTTCAAAGGCCAGAAAAGTTCATGAGACTATCTTCAATTAACCAGCAAAAAACTGAGTTGGAAACATGGCTCAAGTGGTAAGTGTGCTAGTTGACTAAACGAGTCAAGAAAGTGCAAGGTGCTTTGTTCAAACTCTGGTACTGGCAAAAGAAAAATAAAACTGAGCAGGGACCAGTGGCTCACACTTATAATCCAAGCTACTTAGGAGGTCGACATCTTAGGTTGGCGGTTCAAAGCCAGCCCCAGCAGGAAAGTCCATGAGATTCTTATCTCTAATAAACGGCTCAGAAAACCGGAAGTGGCACTGTGGCTCAAGTGAGGGCTAGCCTTGAGTTAAAGAGCTGAGGGACAGTAACCAGGCCCAGAGTTCAAGCCTCATGACCAACGCCCCTCCCCCAACAAAATAAAAAGAAAAAGAAAACTGAAAAAGTAGAACTTCCAAATACACACACATGTTGTATAGTTGAAATTGTTTAAGCAGACCAGTCACATTCGTGCTTCTTAGATTCTATTCGAAGAATGGGATTGAATTTAGGACCTCAGAGTCATGTCCCCAGTTCTTTTGCTTTGCTTGGGATATCCTTGAAATGCGACCATCCTCCATTTACCTTCTTTGTAGCTGGGAGCTACAGATGTGTGTTATCACACCCAACTCATTAACTTTTTGTATAAGCTAGCCTCAAGCCATGATCCTCTTATCGCCATCTCCTGAGTACTGAGATTTTAGGTGCCCATTACTAAGCTGGTTCCCATATTCATGCTTCTCTTTACGAGCAAAAAAAGCTGGAAAAAAAGATATTAGGCAGAAAAGATGACAAGGTGTCAAAGGAGCCCCTTCTCAGGTTCTGCATATATTATGGGAACACATCTAACATGAGTTAGTACTTAATACAAAGAAACAAAGAACTTTACTAATTTTCAATGTTCATACAATATATTATCACTATTATTCTCAATTCTACTTAAATTTCAAAATCAAAGTTCTATAAATTCACCAACTCTGCTTTCATTCTATCTCACACACACACACAAAATCAATTCTAAAGAAACAATTGCCTGCTCAGCAAGTGCAGGGCCCTGAGTTCAAACTAGCATATCCAATCGAGAAGAGGATAAGAGAACAGAAGAGACTTCTGAAAGAAAATGCCCAAAGAAATACCCTCCATTATGCTTAGAAGCATCAATAGTTTTCTAAAATCAATCTTAACTTAAACATTTAGAGTATAGATTACTTTATAGTGATCTTCCAAAACAATTTTAAGTCATTAACAACATGACTGAGAAATTAATCTTTCAAGAGTCTATCTCTGTTGATAAGGTAAGCTATATAATAAAAGTGGAGGAGAGAGAATAGTACTACTATCCTTAGAGCTCAAGGTAATTAATGCACAGCCTGACAGACAATTTCACTTATCCTCAACTTGTTAAACACTTATGCAAACGAACAGCTATTTCAGAAAAGTTTCTTCCTTTTGTTACTGAAAATATACATTTACATTTACATATTGTAGAACTCTACTTCAAAGTAACTTATTGGGCTTGGACGTTAAAGAACCAATTTCAAAAATTAACAACAATTTACAGAAGAAAAAGTTAAGCTGTGATGATCTTAAGAAACAAAACCTTTTAGAGGCAACAAGTTGTTGCTACTTACTGAAAATTCTTCCCTACTTCTGAAATACTAGTTTGAATGACCTCAGTACAGGTAGCAACACTCACCAGTATGGATCTTCTCATGTCTCTGCAGCAGGTACTTCTGTATGAAACGCATGTCACATTGACTACATTGAAATGGTTTTTCACCTTAAAATAATTTCACATCCATAAATTAGTTAATGGATAAAACAGCAGTTTTAAGTTACTATTTCTAAGGAAATATAAATCTTAGAAGCTTTGATTTTTTTTTAAGATTTTAAAACATTCATATTTAAAAAAATTTTTTCATTAACAAGATTATTTGCTCTTGATATTTTTCCTCCAGGATAAAAAAAATCATATTCTCACAGTCACACAAAAAAAATGAGTCAAAGAAAAAATAGAAAGTAATTCAAAATAGAATTTAAAAATCACAATTTGTGAAAGCACTTGTACCAATTAGAGTGTGTGAAACCTTAACTGTCTCTTGTTCTTATCTGGAGGAAGATGTGCCCATTCTATTCTCTGTTCTAATGGCTAACCAGGCCTTTTTGCCTTTTCAACTATTTTCTTCAGAACCATCTAAAACACCTCTTTAGAAAAATAATCCTGCCCACTTTTTCAAACATTCCTTCTCTACTGAAGTCCTTCTTCTTGGGGACAGTACTGTTTTGGTCTTGTCTGCGCTGAGAAGCCTTGCTTCAATCCTGATACACTCCAATCTTCATACTCTCTCTCCTTCCCTTTGACCAACAAACTTTCTTAAAAGAGTAGTCTAGCCAGCAGGCACTGGTGGCTCACACTTGTAATCCTAGCTGAAATCTGAGGATCACAGTTCAAACCCAGTCTGGGAAGGAAACTTCATGAGACTCTTATCTCCAATAAATTACTACAAAAAAAAAAAAAAAGCCACGAGTAGAGCTGTGGCTTCAAAGCGTTTACACTGAGCAAAAGGGCTCAGGGACAGCACTCAGGTCGAGTTCAAGACCTACGACCATCTCACACACAAAAAAAGAGTGGTCTACCCAAGTCTCAAATTGGTTGCCAACCATTAGTGATCTGACAGTTACATTTTGCTTTCTAAAAAATTATTGTAATCTCTTTTTTTTTCCACCCTCAACTCAACTAACCCTCTCTGCCCCCTGACAGTGTGACACTGTTAACAACAGCCTCTTTGGGACTGTATCTTCTTTTTGGCTTTTGGGACACCACTGTACTTTTTCTGCCTTTATTAATTCTGTCTCCTACTTATTCCCCTCAATTCATCTAATATATGCCTAGCTTGCTTTACCAGGTCTGTGATCAGTCTTTAGTTCTATTCTCAACAACTTTATAAACTCAGCTATCATTTTGTTCATATTTGACTTCCAAATTCATATTATCATGCACAGAAAAATGAATGTTGACAGCCTTTTAACAATACAGTTTTTAAGCATTTACTTAGTTCAATGAAGCAATCTAAGGCAAATAAATATCCAACTAATTTTACAGATCATACTAATTGTTTTCTTATTTAAAGTTTTTCCTGGTTTCCTTCCAACTCTAACGCCAGGTTAGCTATTCTCTAGATGACATTTACATATAGATCAATAAAACAAAGACAATTTTAATGGCTATATGCCCATTAATTCAATACCTGTATGAATGAAGACATGTCTCTGTAAGTGATAGTTCGTTCTAAAGGCAGCATTGCAGTGCTCACAAACATGAGATTTAGGGGTTTTCAAACCAAGTGATCCATCCTCATTAATTGTAAGGATCTAGTATTTTTTTTTAAAAAAAGGCAAAACAAAATAAAGAAGTTTTAAAAAACACTAAATTTTTTTTTAAAAAGTATAATATAAACAATGGTCACCAGAGATTATAAAGTATTTTTCATAAATAATCTTGAAAAGACCATTAGAACTTATCTTTAATTTTAGGAAAGTAAAACATAACAAAGTAAGTAAAAATTATTAATAAAACCTTGGAAGCTCATTAAGTAACATCTCATTACTCTGACCATCCTCTGTCATGCTGATGGCTAACATAGTTCCTCCCTAAGTATCCTCTGCTAGGATAAACATAGCTAATAGTTCCAGTTTCAAACTCTCATATATGCAGGGGAAACGTCTTATGTTTTATATATGGCTGAAATAAAATAATAATGAATATAACTTAATATTAGGTGGTTGTGAAATACCTTGAGAAAACTATATACTTACACGAAAGAGCACCAAGTTTTGTTTTAAAAAAGTGAACTTAAAAAAGTGAGGCTTATAATCCATGTATAATTTTTATTAATTTCTGTATATAAAAGAATACATATAGGAAGATATATTTGTAGATATATAAAAACTACTTCAAAAGGATATATGTGTATGTATATATGCATACACATTATATACATTTATAGATAATGTACAAAAACCTTTGTTGTAATGGTCATTGAACTGGACAAATAAGAGATAAAGCTGGAAGACTCTACACTATATACTTAAAACATTTTTTGAACCATATAAATGCTTATTATACTATTTTGTTTTTTAAAAAAGCTAAAATAAAGTTTCCTAGTTATTCTAAGCAGAATCTGGAATTTTCAGTCTACTTATCTCTAATATTATTTAGAGCTACTATAAACGTATTTCTAAAAGTATTTGTTGGATAAGTAAAAGATAAGATGGGAGAGAAAGAAATTAATCTTATCTTCTTGGGCTTCTTGGGATTGAGAAATTTTTCTCATCTAGACAGTCTCATGTATTCTAATATATCGATAACTTTTCAACATGCAATGTTAAACTGCTTCTCATAGGCAAGAGGCAGAGAAAAACAGTAAAAGATTCCCTTTCTCATTACTGAAGACAGAGAAAAGATGGCAAAAATATGGTATGTTAAAGCAAAGAAAACTAGAAGATAAGATCAGGAAGAAGATGGTCACTTTTAGGAAAACAAGAGTGGAAGGGAAGAATACAGAATACAAGCTAAGAAATGGTCTGCTATAGGGAAGAGAAAACATGGGAAGAAATATAAAGACTATGGAAACTGATTAGGCCTGCAAATACACAACTATGACCGCTCCAACCTTGAAACAGGTTAGAGTTAGTAAGGAAAACAGGCTTTAATCTTTACAAAAAATTTTTAACTTAAAACTGAGGAAAACATTTCCACCTATACTATATGCAAATCAATTGAAATTATTATGCAAATTATAAAGGACATTTGGGCTCTGGGCAAACTGCCATTATAGTCAACAATGCTTCAAAGTCTATGCACCCAAGTCCTAGAAGGAAAACAGTTGGCAGAAGAATGGAAGTGGGTGTCACAGTTTCCTGAACAGTCAGTGAGAATGGAAAGTTTCATCTCTGTCCAGTTAAAAATTTTTTCAACTCCTCCAAGTCACATAACAATATGTAAATTAACACTGTAAAAAGAAAGAAACACAAAACCTTTTAAAATAATGATTCAAAATTTCTTACATAAAGCATGTAACAAAAAGATAATACGCATTATACATAAAGCAGAATTGAAATGCACCAGTTTTCTTTTCCTTTCAGATGTTAACAAGTAAGATCAAGGTGAATAAGTGCCAAAAACGATGGCAGTTCAATCACTTTTGCGGCACAGCAACTGCAAGGAAAGGCCTTGTAAGGAACAACTCTGGTTAATGGTGACTGAAAAGAGCCCTTTAGATTAAGTTACAGAGTTTTAGGTCACTGTTTTCTGACACTGAAGGTCATGTAGCATTCACTGCAGGTACAAATCTAAAGTCCAAGTGGAATTTTATTTTACTTATTTATTTTTGTTGCAGTTCTGAGCTTTTGTGCTCAAGGCTAGTACTCTACCACTTGAGCCACAGTTCTACTTCCTGCTTTTTTTGGTGGTTATTTGGAAGTAAGAATCTCATGCCCCGGCTATCTCCGAACTTTAATCCTTAGATCTCAGCCTACTCAACAGCTAGAATTTCAGGTGTGAGCCACCAGCAGGTAGAATTTTATGAATGAAATAGCTACTATTGTCTTGTGTCTAAAAACAATGAAAAAAATTTAGCATGAAAATTCATTTTATTATTTTATTTTTGGGGCCAGTTGTGGGGCTTGAACTCTGGGCCTGGGCGCTGTCCCTCAGCTAGCGCTCGACCACTTGAGCCACAGCGCCACTTCCGGCTTTTTTCTTACGTGGTGCTGAGGAATCGAACCCAGGGCCTCTACAAGTGCTTGCCTTGCATGCATGAGGCCCTGGGTTCGATTCCTCAGCACCACATAAGCAGAAAAAAGCCAGAAGTGGCGCTGTGGCTCAAGTGGTAGAGGGCTAGCCTTGAGCTGAAGAGCTGAGGGACAGCACGCAGGCCCAGAGTTCAAGGCCCATGACTGGCAAAAAAAAAAAAAGAAAGAAAGAAAATTCAAAACATTAAATTCTTAGACCTTTTGTATTTTTCTTTTCCTTTTGTTAGACTAGACCAATAAGTATCTATATTACTTCAAACAAGCATCAATGGCCTTTTCTGATCTGTAACTTTTAAATGTATCTACATGTTTTTGTCTGTTTTATGTCCAAATGACCAAAGTTAAACCTGAAGGTGGGGGCATAGTGAAATCTATTAAAAAAACTGTTGACATGGCTGCCTTCTATCCATTCCAAACATCCTATACCACTTAACAAAAGTGATCTTTGCTAAAAGAGATACTTTTCAATCACTCAGTCTTCAGATTAGACACAGATAGGTGATCATGCAAAGAGCAAAGCCCCTTAGGGGAACAAAAATAACAAATTAATATAGGCAAACCTTCCTTCCTTCCTAGATATATACTTGGCTTTCTTGTTCCATTCTTTCAAGATCTTTTAATAGACAATGATTTACCTGTTCAGGATGGTTGCCCTACAGATTATCAATGTAACCTGATTCTGAAATTAAAAACCAGTTTTGTTTTTTCCCCCTAACATCTGAAGTTTTAATTTTTTAATCCTAAAAATGCCTGCTGTATCATCTCTAGATTCTTTATCTTGTCTTCTGTCACTGCTGCTTCAGCAGAAATACAGTATATTATAAAGACCAAGATTCTCCTCTTACCAAGATAGATAGACAGACACAGAGACAGATCAATACAAATACTATGTTAAATACTACATTCATTTTCAGACAAAGCTTTACGCTGTTTATTCAACCAAGAGACTTCACTTACAGATCACTGGCACTGAATGATTAAAACCTGATAGCAAACATGATTTTCCATGATCTATGTATATACTGAAACTATTAAAGCACATTTTAAAAATAATATGTTTTACAATACATTCCTACATCAAGACTGACTTCTAATCTTCTAAAACTTAGATAACTTAAGAGGACAGAACTTAAATTCTCATCAATTAACTGAGGATCAGGAGATAGATCTTTTACTCTCTCTCCAAATCCAATTAGAAATGGAATAATAGTGCAACTCATAGGACATTTAACAGTCACCAGAGCAACAACCATCCCAATATTATCCTTGTAGCCAAAGTTCCACCTTTACATTGTGTCATTCGTCAAGATTTTTCATTGCTTCTCTGGGCTTTTACTTATTATGAAACTTTATTTTTAAATGGCAAGCTTCTAAGAATGTCAGAATAGCAAACTCATTGTAATCATTACACAGTTACAACTAATGTTCAGCACGATGACACTGAGCTTACAAAAGGTTCTTTCTTGTTTCCTGATTTTGAAAGATGTGGTATGTTCTGACAGATGGACATCCTCAGTATTTTTTTTTTAGCGGTTCAGCTCTGTAAGAACAATTTGCCCAGAATGCATTAACTGTCTAGGAAAATTAGATACATAAAATGAAAATATAGTATTGTTAATTTTCTTCCTTCATATCTTAAAAGTACTAACTCATATTTTGTTTTGCAATCCGTTTGCATTCAAAGCCACTTCTTCATAAATCAGGGTAACATATAGAAGAAGGTATGACAAATGCTTGGTACATTTATTTTTCTATTCTTTTTAAATAAATGTTCTCATTTACTATAATTCAATTTTAAATCTTCTTGATAGTAAAATCTCAAAATCTCACATTGGGAAGCAATAATAGTACAGTAAATTTCTGGGAATTATCTCTATTATTCATAATATTTTTGTATGTTGGATATGCTCTTACTTCCTAAGTGTTCTGCATCATTTTGAATATTCCATACCCATTCAGATTGTCTAAAGAGTTCTTAAAAAAAAAAAAGTACCTGTTCTAAAATCAACACCTGATAAGAGATGAGGTATATACCAGGCACTCAAATTACTTTTCAATTACTAAAGAGTTTGAAAAGACCTATAAAATGTATATAAAGAATGTTGTCTACACAGCATTTCACTAAAATACTACTACTTAAATTTACTGAACAGATTTTTAGGATTCCCTAATGTTCACCTCAAAATCCTGATAAAACCCTTCTGTTTCCTAAGGCATGCAAGCCATCCATAAGCTTCTAGTATCAAGACTTGAGGGTCTCAAGCTTAAATGTATATCATAAACACTGCTCTTTTAAAGTACAAAAACCCTGAAGAAAGAATCTCCTGGGATGGAACCTACACATCTATATCTAGAAAATGTCCTGAAGGTGACTAGCACAGAGCCAGTATGAGACTGCAGTATGTTTGACATATGTTTCAAACACTTCTTCTAGCAACTTTAGCTATTTGTGGTGCTAATATAAAACAAAAACAGCTTTATAGGGGCAAAGTAAAGTGATGTTAAGATAATAAAATGATGCAAATGTGCATAACATATCCATACTTATGAGACACAAG